TACCTGAAAGATTGCCTTTTTCACAATAATTTCATTCCATTGTCCAGCAAATATTGATAAGACCTTTTTTCATTTTTCTCTCTACTGTATATAGTGCACATACACTTACACACATATTACCAATGGGATGGGATTGCTCTAGTTTCAAAGAGAAAGTAGTGGCAAAGTGTCCAACTGTAGCTGGGAAAGACTGGATATGAATAAGCGAATACCAACTGCAATAATGTGAATGTCCAAAGAAATTGGGTTTCTTAAATCAAGAGATTTAAATTTCTTAGCCAAACTTCCACTGGTAAGCATATTTTATAGAACTCAGTTGGAAGTGTAGTCACCTCGCCTTCTCAACATATTTCTCTTGTGTCACCTCCTGGAGTGTTTACCAACCAGGGAAGAAATCCTGGTCATAGTGATTGACTTGGAATGATCAAGTATCCCTTTAACTTCCTCAAGAATAAGAGATTAGGACTTCCATGGGAGGTAAGGTTAGCTGAAGATGGCTCTGTAACACAATAAAACTGTTATGAGTTATTAGTGAATTATAGCTTGTCAGAATCACCTTAATCTTTAACTAGCATCCCCAAGAATTGCTTGTTTGGGCAATCTCATAATGCAATGATGCCGAATATGTAGTTTAATTGTGTGTTTAGTCTGGTTCATTCCCATGTTATGCATGACCTTAATATTACTGCCCTATGGGCACGGGAACTCCCTTGCAACTACCAACCACATGTGTCCATACATGCTGTGCTGTTTATTTCAATAGAATGGAGCATCATATCTATGCCAGGGGTGAGCAATTGATTTTCTCAAGGGACCATATGAGAAACTGGGACTGCTATGGAGTTGAACCAGTGTAACTATCTTCAAAGTGTGTCACTTCAACTCCTCAGAGCACTGCACAGGTGCAGAAAAGCACTTTCTCTCCTCACCCTCCTGCAGCCACAGCTGACTGAGGGAGCGTGTGGGTGGCTGTGCAGAGTTCAACCTGACTTGGCTTCTTCTCCTGCCCTCTGCCCACTTGACATCTGATTTCTAATTTCCAATTGACCTCAAATGGGCCAGACAGGAACAACCAAAGAGCCAGATGTGGCCCGGAGGCCATAAAATGTCCAGGTGAAATATATCCCATGGACTGACACAGTTCTTACCTAGCATAGTTATGAGACAGGAGTCCTATGATCTATTTAATCCAATATCTTTCTCCAAGATATATATTTACTAATAATTGGGAGGGAATATCTCTTCAAAGAATTCAAAGCCACAAAGAGAAAGAATTCCAACATCTTTGTCAACTCATAATCTTGCTTGATTATACCTATCAGGTCTCATTTTTTTACATTTCTTAGAGAGGGAGGGAGGGGGGGAGAAAGAGAGAAAGAGAAAGAGAAAAAGAGAGAGAGAGAGAAGCGAACTTAAAAAGTTTTTGAACTCTAAATATACAAAACCATACAGTTTGAGAAGCCCCTGAAGCTACAGTTGTCAAAGAGTTCAGCTGTGTTTCAGTGCCACATTGCACCTGCACTTAACAAAACTAAGTTACTATACAGCCTTTCTGTTCCTAAGTCTAACCAGATACGTGTAATGTAACAGGTTTTGTTTGGTGATTAAATCTACACTTCTCTAGTAGTATTTGAACATATGTCGTTTGGGGATGGCTGGATGATACACAATGTGCTCACTGCAACACTGAACCCCTGAACATGTGAACACGTATCTCACCCAATTCTATTATTTTAAATATTTCTGCAGTGGGGATGTGTGATTAGATTAATCTCTCAAAATAACTGACAAAATGACGATTAAAATCCAAGACTAGACTAGGAAAAAAACTCTGGCAAGATCACTGCCAGTCTGAGTAGCTAAGTATTGGCTAAAATTCCATCTTCTTTCTTGTACTCTGTTTTCTAATCGGACACAGGCTTTTCTGAAATAAGTGTGGCTGCTGAGAAATAAGCCAAATAGTTCTGAACAGCATTAACTAGCTAAGAGCTTAAACTGATTACTTCAAAACAAAAATAACAGCACAGCTCCCAACATTTTGTTGGCACAGCTGTTAAAAAAATCCAAAACTGAAAAGCTGGAATATTTCTTTGCTCTGCAGCAAAGGAACAAATGCATGTAAACAAGGGTTATATACACTACAGGTGTCAATACTAATCAATAAGGTATCAAAACAAAAGACAAGAGCAATTATCAAGGCAGATTTCATTATCAAAAGCAATGATCAAGTCTTCCACTCAAGCACTAACTTTTCTTTTGCTGAGAGTAAAGGGTCGATGGGGAGTCTAGAGCATCTGTTTTCTTTGCATCAGCCAGGAAGCTAAAAAGCATCAATTCTGATTTTATCAACAGCAACCATAATTTCCCAAAACCAAAACCAAGCCGAAAGTTGCCTTCAAAGTCAATTTCTGAAGTATTAGAATGAGTGCAGTGTACAGTAGTCATTTTTTCCCCCTCTCCAAAATATCAAAAGCACTTTATCTGAAAATTAGAAACGGTAACATTTGCCATCTACATTGATTTGTCATGATGCTTCGATACATGGAAGACCCATGCAATGGATTTTAAGCCCTGCTCTTGCAAGGGGTAAATGCCCACCGTTAAAGGTCCCCAGCTATAGCCTGGGGTAGACGAGACAGCAAAGGAATACCACTGTACTCACCAGTGACTGCTGATACCATAGTGTCCTTTTTAGAGGGGTATTCCCAGTCATATCCAAGATTTCCAAGTAAGGAAATTGGGCATTGTGGGGGAGATGCCTTCTCTTTAGCCTGCCGGTAGCAGGTTCATGGAATGAGAAATAATAGATGTCCCTCCGAGTTCTCTGGCTGAAGCCTGCTCCATGTATGTGGGTGGGGGTGGGGGGAGTTATGTAACCAGAGACCCCCACTTGTTTATGCTGTGACACAGGCGTCATGGCTTTGCTCAATATCTTTTAACTGCTGCCCTGGCATTCAGTCAGCCCAGTAAATTAAAAGGTGGTAAGATTTCTTTCTCCTGGCTACAGCAAGTTTGTTTATGTCCCTGGACATTGATTCTGGAATAAGAAGGGGAAACAATCTGAGGTTTGAGGGGAGAGGAGAATAAGAGGATGTCAGTTCTTTGACCCATAGAGACAAACAGAACAATGGAGAGGATGAATTACCATAATTACTATATTTACAGGGATATTGTGGTGATGCTGCCAACTTTTCCCTCATAGAAATGCAGGATCATTATCCACCATGTTTAGGGTATTTTGAATGCCCTCTCAACCCTTAATTCTCCCAGGAGGCTGAAGTCCAATCCCACAAGCTTCACAGATGTGAAAAAAGGTTGTGGTTGCAATCCTTGTGGACAAACAGGCACCAATGAAATCAGCAAGACATAATTCTATGGTAAGCGGAATGAGTAAGGACACCCATAATTTCACCCCATGAAATCAATTCTATCTATTTCCCCTGAGGTTGCCATGTTTTAGTCAGTAGAAAAGTCCATTAGAAAAGTCTGCTAAATTATGTAAGTCATGCCAGAATGGGTTGTCAACATTTTGAGCCCTATTGGCTACATAACATAGCTTGTGAAATTAGGAATCAAAGCCACAAAAGCATCAACACATCTCACTGGTTATTGGCTTGCATAGTGCATCCTTCCTGCTTTTGCACAATCTAATAAATAAAGCACAGATAGTTCTGAAGTAGATTTTTGCTTTCCTAAAACCTGTCAGCAAAAACCCAACACCAAGGATACTTTTGTATCTAATAAACTGACTTTAAAAGGAAGCAAAAACATATAACATAATCTTCAGGGACAATATTACAGTGTAACCCATATATTCTAGCCTTCACACAGCAAACAAACATGGTAAACAAAAACAGCAGGAAAGATACCACTTTTACTAATCGCAGTAAAGATAAAAATAGCATCACTGGTTTGGTTGGTTAATGTGTTCTTCTTGTTTCAATGAACCTAGTGGCTCTGGACAGTTGAAAGACAAAAGAAAAAAGATACTGCATTGGATCTTAAGCTCTTTCTTATTCAGAGCTTTCCAGTCAGAGTTGTCCAGCCAAAAAGCTCCATGCTTCTCCCCTGCTTTAAGGTAAGGATATGACTAGAATGCTTTCTGATTTCATTTCAAGGATGCCTATCAGGAATACTACCAAATATATTAAACGTGAAGAACTTAAATTCTCAATGCTGATCTTTTTTTAAACTGCAGCATTAACCTTTTCTTATCCTATCGCTGTTTAACAGTAGCTTCAAGAATATGGTGTTATAGGTTGGCAGGAAAAACCTAGATGTAATTCTCACAAGTGAAAGAGGGAAAAAGAGGCACAGAATTAGGAAAATGAGATTACTTTTTATTTTGGCATATATGAAAGCAATTTATATACAACATATATAGGCAGTGATTTTAAAAAACTTATCATTTGGTTGACAAAACACTTTTTTAAAAAAATACAAAAATAAGTGTTCTTAAAAAAGAGCACAAAATATTCCAAATGTATTTTCAAAGGTTTCAAGTTAATTAGAGCAGGGGTCTCCAACCTTGGGCCCTTGAAGCCTGGCGGACTTCGACTCCCAGAATTCCCCAGCCAGCTTTGCTGGCTGGGGA